GCGTAACTATGATTGTCGGGATGATCACATTAAGGAAACTTATTCCTCCCAACATAGGAGTCATTCTCAGCAAGGAGCTACTCGACTCACCATCAGGGTCGAGGTAGGTACTCAGCCAAGAGAAGCGTTACGAACTGAACCCTTAGAGACCCCTCTCTCAAGCATGATCACCCTCATCATAAGGAAAAGGGTGAAACACATAGACAACATCGTCCTAGGGAGCGAAGGTGATGATATGAGAGTCCTTTCTGCTATCAAAGGGAAGACGGCTAGAATGTCTATAAAGGAGAAAAACAAAGGCGTTTCGAGCCAACTCGAGATATGGCCACTCGACTGCAACATGACTATTCACATGACGACCTCGTTATTAGACGAAGGAAAGGGACAGACAAACCCTCACAAAGATGACTACCACGCCGTTCGTTCGGTCCATACGAGAATCTGAACCCCCACAAACGTTTAGTCCTTTGATTTTTGAGTTATATGATGGCAAGTCCGACCCCTTACTTCACATAGGAGCTTACACCAACAAGATGGCTCTCTAGACAAGCTATAAGGCATTGATGTGCAAGATGCTTCCCTCTAGTTTAGGAAAATCAATGCTTAAGTGGTTTCATGTGATGCCCATGAACTCAATCTACTCTTGGGAGCAACTCACCAGAGAGTTGGTCTCTCGATTCATAGCTAACAACCTAGAACCAATGACAATTGGTACACTATTGGCACTACGCCAAAAATGAGGAGAGACTCTCTGAGAATACACTATGAGGTACCTGAAGACTATACCGACATAGAAGAATGTGTTGAGAAGACTGATGTTGTCTCCTTTCGCTTGGGCCTCCCAAGGGAAAGTGAGTTGGGAAAACATCTCACTATGTGGCCACTCAAGAGTATGTCCCACTTGCAAGAGCACGTCAGGAAATATGTAAAGGTGGAAGATGACAAAGGCCAATCGATCGACTATGATCTCCATCAAGGAAGAATCAAAGGAAGGAAGGTAGCTCCATTAACCCATCAAAGCAGGAAAAAGCATCAAATGGGACAAAGGACTCATCCTAAAGAGTCGATACTATCTCCAAGAGAGACCAAAACCTTCATTGCTCTTACCACAAAGATAAGGGCCACCAAACAAAGAATTATCTCACTCTCATGCACCATTTGGAGGAATTGGTCAAACAAGACCATCTATCCCAATACATAGACAAAGAGAAGACTATTAAAGAGCAGACAGAACAACAAACTCAACCAAATGATCAGCCTTGGCCAAGGGATGACCAACCTCCCAAGGTAATAAATGTCATCTTCAACACCATTTCTCCGATGCAAGTTGAATCGATCTAGTTCTAAATCGAGTATCGAAAAGCCCGTCATCTTCAACATGTTATGCAAACAGATTACCAAGATGGTCATACTTTCAAGTGATAAATGGCAGAATCAGATAGTGTTCCCATCACATCTCAGATGTGGACTTGGAAAGAGTGGTCCACCCGCATAATAACCCCCTCATTTTCATTCTCAACATTAGCGACTTTGAAGTAAAGCGTGTACTCATTGACCCTGGGAGTTCAACGGAGATTATGTATTACGACCTGTTCAAGAAATTGGGAAAAACTCAGGGTGACCTCCTTCCAATGACAATCTCATTTGTTGGATTCAATGGCATGCAAGTCTGGCCTTTTGGTAGTTTGCAGCCTCTTGTCAAGGCTAGTGCGCAAGTGGTCAAGGTAGACTCTCTAGTGGTGGATGTTCTGTCACTATACAACACCATCATGGGGAGACCATGGCATCACCGGATGCAAGCGATAGTCTGCACTTACCATCAGATGTTATGCTTTCCTACCAATAAAGGGATAGTCGAGATTCATGGAGACCAAGCTACCTCTAAGCAATGCCTTAGTATATGGGCCAAATTGATGGCCAAGTCACAACAGGTCTTTATAGCTGATGAAGAGCTCCCCCTTCTGGAGGACGTAGGGGTCAAGCCCAAAGACAACTCAATCAAAGAGCTGCAGGTCATACTAATAAACCAAATAGGTCTGGATAGATACTTCTTGATTAGATCACAACCACTTGCACCCGATAAGGAGTCCCTTATTAGGCTACTAAGAAGGAATATCGAGACCTTTGCTTAGACACCTTATAAGATGCCAGGTATTGATCCCTCGTTAGTTGGCCATCATTTTAATGTCAAACCTGTTCGCATGTTTGTCGTTCAGAAGAGTAGGAGGTCTGCCCTCCAGCATGTGGAAGTCGTTGATGAAGAAGTGGGTAAGCTCTTGGAAGTCAGTGCTATAAAGGAGGTCCAATACCCGAAGTGGCTGTCAAACACCATTGTGGTAAATAATTCTCGCCGAGGTTGTGCCTAAACTTTTGCAGTTCCACTTTTGTCCTTATTTACTGAAGGGTCCATTTTGTTACTTCCAATGCGATGAAGATGTGTTTCGCTCTATTACAGTGTTGCACCTGGGGGCGTCACACCTGACTTTGTTATCCATTCAAATGTTATTAAACCCTATTGGGCCCATTTGCCATGTAACCTAATAATTCCTGCTAATTATTTTTATATAGTGTGGATACCTGTCTTGAATTTATCGAGTAATACACACTATATATGAAAAAAAAAAAAATAAGTTTCATTATTTTGGGCTGATTATAGCTAATTTGAAGGCCCAAACTCACCAAAAACTTGTAAGGTCAATGATATTTTTTCCATCCTGGTATCTATGGGACTAGAATCTACATTCAAATGGACATTGTTTCTTTTTGGAAGGTAAGTAGTTTATTAATCCAAAACAAGAAGATATTACAATGTAGCCCAACCAAATAAGGTCCTAAAGAGCACATAGTAAGGAGAGGGGATGTGTGTTGGGGGTGTAAATATTAGGTATAATGGTTATACTGCATCACCATTGTAATTGTTCAATAATAAATAAATAAGTAGGTAAGTGAATTCCATTTTTTGAATATATGACAGTTTCTACTTTACATGATGGAATGATTTTTTAAAATAATGGGATCTATTTTACTTAATTATTAAATTATCATTGAGCGGTTACACCTTTTTTAGCTCTTAGAGATTAGGGGGTTGTACTCATTGCTTTTTCTCTTAGTTATAACCAATAATTAAATCATTTACTTTGCATATCTTCCACAAATGCTTGTTGTCCTCTACTTTTAAATATCTTCAAATCATATATATACTAGTTATTGTCCATGTTTGAAGGTACAGAGTAATTAAAAAAATGATCAACAATAAACATATTTTATATTCACAACCAAAATTAAATCACAAACACTATGGAGAGAGAAATGAATTTAAGCACCAACTATAGTGGGGGTGAGTGGTAGTAATAGTGGTGAGAGACAGTAGTGGTGATGGAAAACGGTGATGGTTGTAATGAGTGATGACAACTGTGGTGGTGGTGGCAACCGTGGGTGGCAACGGTGATGCTGGTGATGGGTTGTGGTAGTGGGTGACGGTAGGTGATAGTGGGCAATAATGGTGATGGTGGGTGTTGACCGTAGGCGACGATGGTAGCAGTAATTAATAAATATAAAAATAAGACGACAATGAGGGTGGGTGTTGGTGGCAATAGTAATGATAGTGGTAGATTTTGGGTGACGATGGTGATAATAGTCGCCATGGATGACGGTAGTGGTGGTGGGGTGGCGACGATGGTAGTGGACGGTGATGAAGATGGTCGTGGGCGATAATGGATGCTTCTGGACGATAGTGTGATGGTTGGCGGTGATGATTGTAAGTGTGGTGACAGTGGGTGGTGGCAATGGTGGACGATGACGGGTGGTGATGATTGATGGTGGTAGGTGTGGCGGGGATGGGTGACAGTGGCTAGTGACAATGTTGGGTGACGATAAGTGGTGATGGGTGCTGATGGTGGGCAACGGTGTTAGTAGGATAATGATGATAGTGGTAATAAATATAAGAATGAGATGACAATAAAGGAACGTGGTGGCGATGGACGACAGTGGTAACAATTGGTGGTGAGTGGCAATAATGATGGTGGTAGTTGTGACAAATGTGGTGGTGGGGTGGCGATGGTGGCAGTGGTAGTGGGGCGGTGGTGATGACAGTGGTGGTGGCAGTGATAGTGGCTGTGGGGCAGTAAAAGTTATGGTAAGGGTGGCGACAGTGGTGGTGACGATAGTGGTACAACAACGGGGGTGACAAGATGGTAGTGGTGATGATAGTGGGGTGCTGGTGGTAGGGGCAACAACAGGATAGTGGCACTGGTGGTAGAGTGGCGATAGTGATGGTTGGTGGTAGTGGCGATAACGATAACAGGGGTTGGTGGTTGTGACAACGGTAGTAGTGATTGTTATGGTCGAGGTGACGGTGGGGCGGAGGGGTAGTGGGGGATAGTTGTGGTGGTGGGATGATGGTGGTGGTGGGGCGGGGTAGTGGTTGTAGTGAGATATTTCCAAATAGTACTTTTTTTAAAAAGTATTTATGAAAAATTATAAATTCTAGAAACACTTTTAAAACACTAATGCTATTGGGACATAATTGAAGGACATAATTTAGAGACATAATGAGTTGTCACCAATAAAATGATAGTAAAATGTATTTAATGATGGGTCTCATTATAGTATTAATGAATTCATTATCATATCATTTGTGACAACTCATTATATTCTCGAATTATGTTCAGAAATTATGTCTCAATAGCATTGTTCCTTTTAAAATGTCACCATAAAGACACCCTTAATTGTCTATTTTTTCTATTAAATTTGAGGTATTAATATTAGTTATCAAATTAACTTTAAAATAAAATTTAAAGAGATCTCAACTACGAAAAAATAAAAATTATTTTATTTATCTTTTAAAATTTGAATTATATTGTAATTTATTATATAAAATATATACATCATAAATCAATATACATATCCAAAAATAAGTGGTGCTCTTTCTCAGCTGGTATCGCAGCTAAATGAATGTGCAACAGACCAAATACTGAAAAATAATTGCAAATCAAATAGGATCATAGCCCCGCAACGAATGGAACTCCGGTGGCCGGCAACCACCCTCTACCGGCTATAAGGCTGGCGACGGTGAACGTTGACGCCACAGTTGAGCTTGTTATAACATGGTAGCCCCGCCACTTCACTCTATTTCGGGTCGAAGAACCTGGTCCAAAGTTCATGTATTCTCCAAAATACAAAGTATCCAAAGCGAAATTCGAATTATTCCATGGCAACCACCCTGCTGGATTCACAAACTCATCAAAATAAGACTTGAGAAAAACTGCCCTCGAGTACTGCATCCATGGCCGTCCCAAGTACGTGTTGAACAAATGAGCCACCGGTCTAAGGTCCGGTGCTGGCATTACTCGAGAGTTATGAATCGAAATTCCAGTGTTTTGAAATGGATCGTAACGACCCTGAGCTGTTATGACATTCACTTGGCCCCATAAGGGTTTTCTAACGTAGATTATGCAGTTTTGGAAGACGACAGCTGCATTGCCGAAAATGAAGTCGATGGTGCCATATATGTAACAGGATTTGTAGAATTGTCGCTGAGCAAGGAGGAAGAGTGTGTCTTGGTAGCCTTCGAAACTGCAAGCATAGAAGACAGAGAGATCTGATGCTGATCGAAGTGCCACTGCTTGAGCATTTTGTGGCCCGGCAGTGTTGCGAAATGTAATGCCACGGGCTATGAATCCAACGCCATCAACCCCTACTCAGAGAACTCTTAGTCATGTAATTTGCTTTCATTGGGTTGATATATTGGGCATGAGTAATATTATTTTGACTTAAAAATTGATATAATTTATTGATAGAATGATATGATATAATTAGAACTATTAGATTAACATTAATTCGTAATGTTTAATGAAGTACACAATCAATCTAAAAGTTATAGTAAATTAAGTCAGTAAATTAGGTGCTAATAACATTACTCGTAGAGATATGTAGCAGTTTAGACATTTCAATTTTTGCAAACTTAATTTATTTAAGGGTAAAATACAATTTTAGTCTCTAAAGTATGCATATAGTATTTATTTGATCTCCAATCTTTCAATTGTGTATATTTAGTTCCTAAGATTCTTAATTTGTATCTACGTGGTACAATCTCAAATGTCCGTAAAAAAATTGTACACAAATTAGGAATTTTAGATATCAAATAAATACAAAATTAAAAACCACGTAATTAACACATGACCAAAATCGTCACGATTTTTTGACACAAGTATGGAATTGGACCATGTAAATATAAATTAAGAACTTTAGGTACTAAATAGAAACAATTGAAAAATTAATAAATAAATAGACACGATACGCATACTTTAAAGATTAAAATTATATTTTACCTTTTATTAAACTAATCAAGAGTTAGTTGTTGAATTAGCAGTAGACCCACTAGGTTGGGTCAATTGCCAATCTAATATCAATCACTTTCTTTCGTCCAATTTTTGGTTAAAACAAATGGAATAATCATGAATTGTGTTTCAATTCGATCCATCTATTAGTTGGGGTTGAAAAGTTTTTACTTACTTCGACTACAATTTTAATCAGAATTTTAATTAGATTAGCCTTGTTCTATTGAACGGGAATCGTAGTTGGAGGCCATAGGGATTGGTAATATATAAATATTGTGTTAATAGTATTTTTTATCTCTAATATATAGATATTAGTTTAATCGTTATTATATCAATTTGATTCTTAAAGTATTCAATTCGTGTAATTTTGATCCCTACATATACGAGTCATTAAGTTTTTTTTATGAAATAATTAAGTTTGAAAACGTGATACCGTCTAAAAAACTGACACATAGACACTTCCGTCAAAAAACTGACACATAGACACTTCCGTCAAAAAAATTTAACGGACTCGTCCATGTAGGAACAAAATTAATATAATTAAAAAAAATTGATAAAAAAATATTTACTTTTTAGTCCCAAAAAATACTATTAACCCATAAATATTTATAATTTATAGCCCAGTTAGAGTGCCATCACATATTAGGGCATTGACCTAGCGTGTTTTGATTATGGCTTGTAATGAACTTACCCATAGTCAATTCATAATACCACACACACAGAGAGAGATCATTAGTTCCTTACCAATAGTTGCACAGCTGTAAGTTGTGAATCCTCCGGCCACACTCCGGCTGCCGGTGATTATTGTATATTTCACCCCATCACCGACCAACATGATGTTATTCATGTTGTTGCTTATCTGAATATTCTCGCTGTAAACACCCCTTTTCACATGAATAATTATCCTCCCATTTCCAGTCCTCTTCGATACCGCATAATTTACCGCTGCTTGAATACTACTGAACTTTCCTGATCCATCTTTCGCCACCGTAACAGTTGCCTGAACCACCACCGACGATGTTTTCAACAGCTTCCGATCACCGGCCGTTACCCAACTGGGAAAACCATCTTTGTAGTCTTGTTCGTTCACCAGAACCCCATTAACGGCCAAGCTGTTGCTTATAAGTTCCGAAACGTTACTTGATGATACGATGGGTGATATGAAGTTTGGGACCTTTAGCTGAACGGAACCTGAATGGCAAGTTACGAGATTTGTAAGAGCAGCGCTGAGCCAAGTTTGAGCATCGAAATCTGAAATCATATTGGCTTCAAGGCCTTGTAGGGTACGGTTAAGTTGGAGGATGGTATCATCGAAGAGGGTGTTGCAGTCCTTCCACGCGGCCTTCTTCCGGCGGCTTCTCCGGCAGTGTTTTCTGAGCTGCTTTGCTTGGCATTGAACATGAACAGCTTGTTCCATGGCGACTTGCACCATCATCGTTCTGAATTCAGATATGTGTTTCGGTGGTCGGCCCAAGAAATGTTTACAGGGCTCAGGGTGAGGGGTGGTACTACACCACCAGTTAATGTCGCCGCGATTTTTTACCGGTAGGGCTTCGGAGAAGAAGGAAGAGAAGCATATGTATATCAAGAATGTTATGAGATTGAACGCCATTGCTGTTATTATTATTCCTTCTACTTTGATGTGGTTCTTGAGGTATCAAGGATCATGTATGTCAGCTAGGGTTTCTCTTTTATACAAGAGAAATGAGGAGAGCTTAATTATAAGGAACGAAATAGTTGAAAATTGTTTTGCAAGATTTACGTTGATATTCAATTACTAGCTTTACTTATTGTTTACATCATGAGATCCTTGTTACGCGGATAACTGCTACTACACACAATCTAGATATAAGGGAAAAACTCAGGTATGAATGGTCATTTTTGGATATCCTATGGAATATTAATACAAAATGGGAACAAGTTTAGGGATTAATATAGTTGAATTTTTGCTTGGCATTGAAAATTAATAAGGCCGTTTAGAATCAATTCTAAAATAATAGGATCGACCCTAGATTAATCCCAAACTTTCGTTGGTATTTACGTAATCTTTTATGTGTTGCAACTTGAAACCGATTTGAGTCATAAACTCATCAGATAGGTCATAGGGATGCAATTCCACCTTTATCTTGTAATAAACATACAATATCGAATTCGATAGAGTTTGTCGTTCTGTGCAAACTTAATTTCTTTGTAAAATTTTTAGTAGATTGTATGTTCAACCCTTGGGTTAATTTTCTGGATCTGTCCATGGAATCATATCAAATGATTGAGTTAAGGAATAGTTTTCTGCATGAGATAGCTTGAATTTGCTGGATTTCTTAACGTGTGATGCGCTATGACTATTCAACCCAATGTAATCTTGTTCTTATCCTCAGTAATTTAAAGAATTTGTGGTGGCTATGACCTGTTTGTCAGATTAAGCAAGCTATTGTAGATATTGAAGCAATTTGTTGAGTGTTTTCTTACACAAATTAAATATTGTATTCGAGATTGGCTAACTGTCATTGTTTGAAACCGTAAGTCCAAACATCCCTTTATTCAGGGATAATCCATGTGGACTACGCAAACAGTTTCTGTGCATGGTGAATTACATAAGTTTCAAGAAGAATTTGTGTGTGATTCAATCAATCATGAAATATCCAAGTAATCAAACCCTAATTTGCTAATATTGGCCCGTTGTTGGAGGGCTCTATTCAACAATTCGTATGTTGATTCCTGAGTTGATTTTCCACCTTCAGAACCAATTACTCCTTGTGATTCAATCAAACGATTCACGTGTTAGTTACACAGTTTTCCAATCCTGCAAGACGGGCGTGGCCCAACCCAAAATTCAATCCAAAAATATTAAATTGGAGGAGAAATATTAAAAGTTATAATTCAGAAGTTAGGCTATGGTTTGGGGGGCCCCTATCCCGCCGCTCAGCCCAACAATTTCATGCAACTAGGCCTACTCTACCTAAAAAATTTGGAGTTAATTGTTAAAAAATACATAAAAAAAAATTTAGGGTAAAAAAATTCTTAATTTTGATATTTATTTGTTTTCAAGTACATTATTTGCAATTTCTATATTTTCTTCTAACATTTATATCCTCCCTTGATCCATGAATATTTTTTTTGAAAATTGGTGCATTAAATATTTTCTAGTTTTATGGGAGAATTTTAATATTTCGTATTTTTATATTCTCCCTTGATTCATGCATATTTTTTTTTGAAAAGTGGTTTTGTTTTCAGATTATATTTAATACACTTTGATTCATGCGTATTTTTTTTTTTTTGAAAAAGTGATTTTGTTTTCAAATTATATTAATATTCGAACTCCATAACAGTGTAACAAGACATTTACACAAAATATTATACTATTATATTTTGTCAAACATATATTTTCATATAATTTCATTCAAAACAGTCTATCTCTTCTTTAAATTTGTTATCATAGGTACAAAACTACTTAACATTGTTTTTGTTACATTGTCTTTGTTATAGTGTATTGTTACACTATTTTTTTACACTATTGTTTAATGAATTTGTTATGTATTTTGTACAATGTAAATAATTTTATATTTCAAATTATATAAAAAAATAAATAATAAATTTTGAAATTCAAACAAAGTGATATATCATAAAATAAACGAAATATTAAAGTTCTCTCATAAAAGTAAGAGATATTTAATGTATAAATATAGTTTAAAAACAAAATCATTTTCCAAGAAAAGAATACGTATGAATCAAGGTTCATTAGAGAATTTCGAATAAAATGACTAAATTTTAACACTTAAGATAAATGACTTGTTATAGTTTTTAGAAAAGAAAATTTTACAAAATGAATTTTTACGTCTTTGTATCTCAACTGTGTACCTTTTTCCAAAATATTTTGTTCTGTGTATTTTTTTACAATTATGTCTAATTTAGTGTACTAACTTCTGAAAGACCCAAAAAATTTTAAGAGAAATTTGGAAGTTAGTATCGTTATATGGACTTATCAATTTTATCAAACTATATCTTTCCTTCAGAAGTAAAGTAAAAATAAAAATTAAAAACTCCTAAATTCTAAGAATTTGATTAATATTAAAAAATTTATCTCTCGTATATCTATATCCATATATAGGTTAGGACTATATTTCTCATATTTATATAATAAAGTAAGTAGAAAAGTTTGTCTTGAATTTTCTTACCACTCAACTAACTCTCTTTCCCTATCTTATACTAACTGATACAACTCTCTCTCCCTCTATCTCATAATATCTCTCTTATCTCTCATGTTTATCTAGAACAGAGCCAAGAATTTTATTTAGGGTGAGCACTTTCATTATACACTCTAATTTTTTTTCTCCTAACTAATAACACTATATAATATATTTATATTTATTATATCATACTTGATATATGAAGTCGGTCAAAAAATAATGTATATTATATATGTATAAAAATTGACTAATTATCACCATTATAAAAAAGTAAAGTTAATTGTCATTTTTATAATTAAAAAATATTAGTTACTCACTAACAATCTGTTGAATTTATTCAATAAACGATGTGTTAAACACTATCCCTAAAAATATTAGTATGGTAAGATCTAACTGTTGGTGACTAATATGACCATTAGAATCAGCATTATAAATAGCATCCATATTTCTCAACTCTTTACACGCCCTTTGTCTAATATTTTTGTAATTTTTGAATTAATTATTGATATCTTATTATCTGGTATTTTATTTGCGATCCATGGTGGTCCCAACAAACGTACGAATATTTTAAAAAATATAAAAAAGGATAATATTATGCAATTAAGCAACTTTGACAGATCCTTCATGTATATTAGCATTGTTGTGTTTATGTGTTAAACTCGCACATAGTTGAAAGGGATTGTGTAAAATTTCTTGTACCTTAGGAAAGTCTGTTCGATTAAATGACAAACTTCTAGCAGTCTGGATATAAAATTTTCTTTAATTTATTGATTTAACTAATTATAATTATTGACTTGATAATGAGACCTAGTATTTATTAACACCCGCTATCAATCGAATGATTATGATAATTAAGTTAACAAGCTATATCAACAAATTAAATCCGAATAACATTATTGAATTGGAGAATTCCCAACGACCAGAGTTGTGTAGACAGAACTTTGCCAGTATCGCAGATCGAACTGAAAATTGACCAAAATGACGGGGTAAATTAACAAAATATGGAAAAGCAGAGGTCTTTCAGATATAATTTCTTTTGTTCTGCTGCAGTTAAAATTACGGTCAGTCCCCTCTTTGGTTTCAGGGTTTTACAGCAAAAACTCCATTGGAGAGTATCAGAGAAGGAAAAAAAGAGAGAGAGAGAGAGAGAACGAATGAAGGAGAGAGAAAACATCCAACCAAGGCCGGTAATGGGATGCCGGCTGGGACGGACGGCTCTGACTTTTCCTACCGCAGGGTTGTTATCCAGTAAGCTTCGCTGATTTTCCTTTCTTTTCCCCTTTAAATCCCATATAATTTAATTTTCAATTAGTTTTTGTTGAATTGTAATTTGATTTTCATCTGAATTAGGTTTGGTTTTAGGGTACTGATTGGTAGCTAAAAGCAAGTGCTGTCTCTCCAAATTCGTCTTCGCTCAGGTACAATAATACATCGATTAATTTGTTGGGGCAGTTGAATTGGATTCAAAAAGGTTGACAACGTATTTCATAAATTACGTTTCGAATGGTGGAATATCATTTGTTCAAGGGAAGGGCAATGCAGCATAATTTCAAGGGCGTTTTATATCACTTGTTTGGTGGGTGGATGAAAATATGGAAAGATCCAAGGGAGGAATTCTTCTTCCCTTTTTTATGTTTGGTATAGTGATGAAAACTCTCGAAGATTGATTTTTTTTTTTTGTGTTTGGTAGGAGGGAAAATTGGTAGGATAGAAAAAAATATAGATAATATATTTAAAAGATATAAAGATAAATAATGTATATTTTAATGTGCATAGTTAATTTTTTATTCATTTTTTCCTCAAAATTGGTGGGGTAGATTTTGGTGAGTTAGAAATAAGACTAATCAATCTATTTTTTCATCATTTCTATTTTTTTCCTTACCAAACAAAGTATAATTGAATATTTGGTCTACCTCAAATTATAAAACCAAGTGAATTTTGTTTCTAAAATGTCTCAAGCTAATGAAATGCTTAGTCTAGAAATAGGTTCAGAAATTATGAAATTAGTGTTAGTGATATTAAATGATATGGTTTTGTTAATCAGCTTGTGCATGTTCTTGGCTTCTTATTCGACAATTAGTAATTAGGTTTCAATTGAATTGTATTTGGAGCTAGGACTTGAATATTTTTTTGGATGTTCGTAGTTGTGATAAAAAAAACTGTGACTCTTCTAACAACATATTTAATTCATATGTTTTTAAGATCTTTCTTCTTTCATTAAGAAAGTTGGATTTTGTCAATTCAATTCAGGTATTTTCGCAATACCTCTTGATTTGGTTGGTAGCATACTGCAGGGTATCTTACAATTGTTTTCTTTTTCCCAGAAGGTATACTTTAGGAGCACTAAACATGTTCCTATCAAGAGCAAAGGAGGAGAGTACAGACACACTTGCTGTTTCAGCCCTCGCTACTTGCTTCGTTTATCTTCTGCTTGGCAAATTAGGTTAGTTAAATGATCATATCTTTGAAATTATAAGTTTACGTTGTGGCTCTGGATTTGTTATAGATTGTTTTCTTCCAATACATAACCAAGCAATACAATGACTACATTAGTTCTAACATTATCAATACTCTGCTATCAAATACAGAATTCACACTACAATTGGGAGAGCCAGCCTACTTTAGCATCCCCTGTTACTAAGTAGTAGTGACACTATATAGTACTGTCACTTTAAATATTTCTATTCATGAAGAGCAGCATAATTGTTGATCAAGGCCAAGGCATTGCTAGTCATATGTGCGACATTTAGGATCTGTACCCTCACAGTGTTTTTCAAATTCCCATTTTGTGCTTTCCCGCCAAACCCCTCTGTGCATGTGTCCTCGTCTGTCAAGGCGGCACTGACCCATGTTTGTATGTCATTCATCACGAGACCATAATTCGGGCCATTGAGTTGACCCATCTCCCCTAGAGATTTTCTCAGCTGGTCTACTGAGTCACTTAGCTCCTCGACACAGTCATGCATAGCGGCAACCTCTCTAGGTTTCATTCCATGGCTTTGTGACAGCTTAACCATCATAGTGGATGTTGACCGGGCAGTGTTGAGAGAAACAGAGAGAGCAGTCTGGGCTAGAAGCTTTGGATCTGTTCGAATGGCACTTGAATGGCTTGAGAGTGAGTTGAAACAGAGTTTAGGATATGTTGTTGCACTGCAAGATGTTTTAATGAACTCAGTGCTGGTCGTTCCGGCTGGAATGCGAGCAGCTGAGTTTGAGTTTATCTGGGAAGTGAAGGCAAGTAGGAGGAGAAAAGCTGTGAGAAAATTGTTAGAGAATGAGCCTTCCATGTCTCTCCCTTTCTTTCTGTCTCACAAACAGCCTAAAGCTAGTGGAATGATGAAAATGGGAGGGAAAGGATCCAAATTTATAGAAAAATCTTGAGTAAATGTTGTGTTAGATATTAGTAATACAGACAGCTGGTGGAAAAGTGTAGAGGACCCAAAAAAAAAAAAAAATCCATGAATTGATTGTCTCAATTCTAGTTGGTCATGAGCCATCCACTTGTTATAACTTAGAAAAATATCTTCATTTTTAGTAACTGGGGTTTGATATTTTTCCATGAAACTAAATCAATTATTGTACATCATGGGGATAGGACATGCTTTTTGTGATAGACATTGCTTTTCAAGTATTACATACATTGTGGAGATTTAGAAGAAGTACACATCTCGAATAAAGAGTTTTCTGGCGGTAAATATATATAGATAACTGTTGAAATATGCACGATACATAAGATATGTGAGCAAGTACTACCTATCAAAGAAAAGGGAAGAGCAATGCTCTAGAAACCTAAGTTGGGGATGTAATCAGTAACTTAATTCAATGCAACTATTGAATTAGTGTTGCATTGAACTAGTTGTCGGATAAAAGGGAGCTCGTCCAGATAGTATTTTCCAAAAAGAAACGGGAGTTAGTTACCCTTGCCTAAGAAGTAAAAAGAGGTACTGTTCCTTTGTCAGCGGGGATACGAGTCCCCTAATGGCTTTTACATTTATTTACCTTTGATATGTTTTTTTACAACTGAGGACAGTCGTAACCATGTGTGACTTTGTGATATCTCTGCTAGGTTACTAATTATTTTTCTTGTATTGTGGTTAAGTTGTTTTATTTATCCGACATAAATTGAACATAGTGGGACCTTTCCTTTGGTGGTCCAAATTCGATCAACTAGCTAAAGAAAGATTAGGATCAAAGCAGCCAGCAAAGAGCTCCCAATAGTAGTTGGAACTTATCTTTTAAATTGGTTCACGTGAAGTGTTTAAAGTTGTAGATAAATTTGAACTTTGGATATTCATAGTATAATGCTTGGTAAAGTCACGTGGGCACAAATTCAAACGGATAATATTGTACAATGAGCGTTGATGACGGTACAAATGGTATCAACATCATTCATCCTTATGGTGTGGAGGTCATCTAGTTTGTGCATATTGGTCTGGCGGGATGGTAGATTGCAACAATGACAACTAGCGACGTAGAAGTAATCATAGAGTATCTCACATCACCTAGGTCTAGGCGGGTCTAAACAAACACACTTGAGTATGGATTGCGATGATCCCATCTTGTGAATTAGTTGGTAAATTTGAATTTTAGATTTTCATAATTGAAAAATTACAAGGTATAGTCCAAAACGAACGATGTAGTTTAACACAATTCCGTTTCGTTACATAAATATCAATGTTGAGTTTTCTTTAAGTAGAGGATCGAACCTCATATGAAAAGTTACCAAATAGTTGCCTTGAACATGCCCATGAAGAGGATACAAATCCAACTAGTGGTAAGTGATGATGCACAAATCGGTTTTGCGTAAAATCAACCAAGATTGTAAACGGGGGCAATTAATAATAAAATAGTAAATAATGAGCAAAACACAAATATATATAGTGATTTGGTTCGGGTGATTTACTCCACTCTCGAAAACTTCAGCGATGGCCTGAATCTTTTATTAATGAATAAATTCGTCGGAGATAATATTTTTCATAAGTATTACAGTGTTTAGAGGGAAAGGGACAGGGAGAGAGAGTAGAAGTATATGTAGAGATCTGTTTACTGCACATGATGAGAGAGTAGAAGTATATGTAGAGATCTGTTTACTGCACATGATGAGAGAGTAGAAGTATATGTAGAGATCTGTTTACTGCACATGATGTTTTGTAAGACACCAATGGAAGAAGTTATTAGTTCACATCACTGAGTAATTGATGTGGCCCTAAAAGAACGTACCTGAAAACCAATTGGGAAATAAAAACATGATAGCCAAGAGACAAGTTGATAGGATGGCTCCACGGTTGCATGGATAATAACCCAACTTGCTTTGGGTGGGGTCGTACTAGATGTAGGTTGCAACTGGGTGGGCTAACTGGTGGAGTACTCTAATGGTCACCCGACTTGTCCATATGCTATCTCAACTTGTTCATTGGGTCCAAGTTTTTGTAGGACAATTAAAATGCATTGAACCACATGGCCGTCAATCTGGAACGTAAAGCTGTTTGGTATAGGATGGGAATGTGACATTCTAGCCTCTAGGTGAAGTTCCCTTAACAATAAAACATGGTCAAAACAACTTGAAAGTCCTGTATTTTTTGAGGTAGTTTTAATGTATAGGTCTACGTTATCTTCGGCATTCATCTAGTGAAAAAAATATTGGGTGTTGCCGTTATACCATATCACGTAACACACAGTCTACTAATAGATAAACAAATCAACATAGGGGTTTAACTAAAACTCATAATCACCTAGTCATGTCATATATAGCCACTTTCGTAATAAAAAATGAATCATATTTTACTTTTTTTTTTATTAGCTCTTGAATTCTTTTTTATATAATTGAGTCATTTAACTCTTTAATTGTGTCAATTGAGCTCTTATGTCTATCTCCGTTAGATTTTTTAACGGAAAATGACAAATTGTGTCACTCACGTGACACAAATAGAAGAAGTTATTAGTTATATATATGACCACTTAATTATGACTCTTGTGTCAATTAAACTCATAATTTTTTTTTGTGTGTGTAAATTGAGTTACTAAACTTTCTAATTGTGTAAATTAAAGCCTTTGTCTTTTTATGTTAAATAGTCATGTGAGCGGCATACTCTAACGGAGGCAAATAGAAAGACTCATCAACACAATTAAAGAGTTTAGAGACTCAATTTACACACACAAAAAGTTATAGAGTGAAAAGTTTTGATTTTCATTGCATGACATCTTTTAAAGTTGTTCGGGTTCGGCCTAAAGTGGAGGATATACATACAATAAAGGTCGAGGATGTTTTAGGACACCTAGTCCATGCAATCAACCGGAATTCTAGACCACCGAGGCCAAAAAATGGGTCTAAATTACTAGCGTTGTTGAGTTTATAAGGGGATGGATTGTGGTTATGTAATCCCACATCACTTGACGAACTCTATGAAATGCTTGTTAAGTATAAATTTGAATTTTTATTATACAATGCATTTTAAAAACTGCGTAAGCCTAGTTCAATATGAATAATATAGTATAATGTGATTTTGATTTTTGTTACAAGTATAAACGTTGATGCTATCTCCACTTGTTCTATGGGTCCAAATTTTTTGAGGACCTTGAAAATGAGTGTAAGGCGGCCTTGTATTATTTAACATACTATGCCCACGTTTAAACTGCTGTGCGACATTACGATGGCAATTATTTTTGGCATGCAAGTACGGTACACGGGATTTACAACCCCACATCGTCACAGGGCTGGTTTAAACGATATTTTTTATTGAGAAAGATTTATTAAGATTAAACGAATTGGCTATATTATTTATTGATCAATATTTTGCATCTAAAAAAATAAAAAATAATTTTTAAATAAAAAAATTAATTATAATAATATGCAAAACATTAATAGGGCCATTGTGAAATTTTTGCCTTAGCGCCCGATATACCTTCGACCGCCCCTACTTTATGGGCACAAGAAAATCACAAAAAAAATTGTGTTTTTCATTATTTTTCATGCTAAACAAATACAAAAAAAAAAATTATATTTTTCATTTCTCCCACACTTCCCATAAATCTCTCAATAACCAAACACCACTTATTTTGAATTTTTTTTTATTTTCCCACAGTTTCCATCAATCTCTCACTAACCAAACACCACTTATTCTGCATTTTCCATATTTTCCACACTTTCCCTCAATCTCTCACTAACCAAACACCATTTATTCTGCATTTTCCGTATTTTCCACTTTCCATAAATCTCTCACTAACCAAACACCACTTATTTTAGATTTTTTTCCCTTTCCCACACCTTCCATCAATCTCTCACTAACCAAACACCACTTATTCTGGATTTTTTTTTCTTTCCCACACTTCAATCAATCTCTCACTAACCAAACAACACTTACTTTTTTTTACCATTCTCTCTCTCTCTCTCTCTAGTAAACTAATGTCCTCCATCTCACTCAATCTTTACCGAATACAAACCTCCTTTTTCTGGTTTGTGTTATGATTTTTTTTATTTGTGTTACAAAAAATATATCAAAATATTTTTAATTTTTTTTATTAAACTTAAATAATTAAAATTAGTAGATCATAATTGTTTAAAATTTAAAAAAAAATCAAAATTAAAATTGTTAACATATTTTCTAAGATCGACTATCACAAGAAAAATTAGATGAATAAGTAATACTATCAATATAAAAAGATATGATAACGAAACTTAAACATAAAAATTAAAAGTCAAAAAGTCTTATTTTCGGTTGTCATTTTAGGTCTCAAATAATCTTAGATCACCCCTCATCTCCATTATTTGAGAAACTGGAGAGAGATAATTACGAGAAGATACAGAGTGACAAAACGTTTTTTATTTTTTATTTTTTTTTTCTAAAAAAAAGTGGTGATTTGTTTTGGTGATCCCCCCCTGACGTTAATGGGGGGAAATCCTAAAGATATTGATTTCCAGATTCAGATCGGATCTATGAATTCTGTAACCTTTTAATTGCTAGATTTCTTATATCTCTCTATGCAACATGATGTGTGATTGCAATCTTTGCACAAATCAAAGTCGGAATTAAAAAGGATTCTTCCGTTTGATAGGATAGAAAAGTGGAATGAGGAAATTAAAGTGCATATAATATATAATAGATAAATTTGATATATGCATATATTAAAAGATATAGAGGTAAATAATATATATTTTAACATAAATAATTAATTTTTTATTTATTTTTCTTCTCTAGAAAAGTGAAGTGAAAGAAAATATATTTTCATGCATGTATTTTGTCAGTATGAAAAACTTTTAAGAAAATTTTAAAACAATCTCATTTAATTG